GCAGGCGAACGAAAAGAAAAGTTGTACTGAGTCTCTTGAATTCCGAGTCCGAAGGCGAGAAGAATGACGCGATGCAACAAAAAAATAGTACCGAGTCTCTTGAATTCCGAGTCTAAAGGCATGCAGAATGACACGTTGCCACACCCTTTGCCTTCAGTTGCGTATCCCCGCGTGTTTATGTCTCAACGATCGATTGGCGCACCACGACCACCATAGCTTGGCCAGGGTTCGCAGTGGTGTTGATGTTGTGTCCGCGCGGCGTGTCTGCGTGCCTGTATGCAGTTGGAGCGAGAGTGTTCGTTTCGCCTACTCACTGCCGTGCCTCCTGCCTGCGCTTGTGGCCACGTGCGTGTGTGTGCGTGAGCGTGCGTGTGTGTGTGTGTGTGTGTGTGTGTGTGTGCGTGTGTGTGTGTGTGTGTGCGTGTGTGTGTGTGTGTGTGTGTGTGTGTGTGTGTGTGTGAACGTGCTTCTCAAACTCTCACTCACTCCATCCTCAAAACATGACACGACTCTCGATCAAACAAGAAAAGTATAAGAAAAGAGAACAAAAATAAGATTTTTTCTTTTTTATTTCTTTTGGTAATGTGTGTGTGTGTGTGTGTGTGTGTGTGTGTGTGTGTGTGTGTGCCAGGATACACAGCACAAACTTTAAGCTGCTGGCATGAGAGCTACGTTTGATGTCTGCCAGGATACACAGCTGATTCTCACGACCTATGGCCAGGACCATGTCCACTGGTTGTGGGCATGGCGTGACCAGTGCCTCTTCGGAGTCGGTGTTGGGTGTGGGTGTGGGTGTGGGTGCCGCGTGCTGCATATCAAGACGTCTATCTTTTGTTGTCATGGAAGCTCTCCTCCTAGACACATTGTAACCCCGAACACACGAACTGCCACCAAGATCAGTGTGCTCTCAGCGCAACAAGTCTCAGATATGAAGCTCATTTGGATAAAGATTTCTGCTGTGTCATCAACGTACATCGAGTCTCATCTGACAGTATTGCTCTTCCTCACATAAGCCGGATCGCGATGGGAGGCTGATGTTGAAGCGAGATTACCAACAGATGGAGTTACTGAATAGTATTTCGAAGGTGCGTCGCTTCAGACGACCCTCGTAGTGTGCTCAACGCTTCGTGTTAGTTTTGTTTTTGTTTTTGGTCGGTGCGCCAAGCGTGATTCTGGGCAACAGAACTGGGTATCGATAGGTCACAGCGGTGTTGACGGTGTTGACGTTGTTGACGGTGTTGACGCTCTGTGTCCCTTTTGCTGTCTACGAGTCTCTGTCAATAAGTGGTGTGCTTGCTTCCTGCCTGAAAGAAAAGTGGGCACGACTCTGACTCAGAGATGGATAATTATCTGTTATAATAAGCCACCAGTACCCACCGCATTTTTCGTACACCCCGGGTCGAATGAATATGTACCCAAGGGGCAGACCGATTCGGCTACGGTAACCGTGTTAATGACCGCAGCAACCGGGGGTACTGTACTGGTGGTTTAAATGAGAGAGAGTTTGATGGATTTTGGAGGCAGAGGATTCGCCAGTTTCCCTCCTGCCTCGATTTTGCTCCATCAAATGCGCCGGTTGAATTTCTGTGTTTCTCTGTTTTTTTTTCCATCAGGGTTGGCTTGGTGGTATGAACTGCTTTCAAGGATGTAGAGGGTTCCTGCGGTTGATGGCCTCCTGCTGTGGTGTTGTGTTTCTGTAATGAACCCAGTCTGTAAGATACTCGCCAGATGTCGAAATACAAAGTAACTCAACTCTGAACAGTGTCTCCAATAATCATGAATGTGATCTCTGATACAATGTCTCGTTCCAGAAGATGAAGAGAGTGGAGGGGGATAATAGGCAGATTAGAAGGTGGAAGAGATAGGTAACCATCAATGACGACAAAGAGAGTAGCCCAACATTTCCCACTCCTCCGGGCTTCCCCTCGCCTCCGCGTCAGCAAAACAGTATCGAGTAACGAGCCTGACAGATCCTGATCACACCGAAGTGCCACGTGACACAGTTCTCTCATGAAGACGTTCGTTGGAGACAATCACCAGCGCACAGTACCGGCATCAACCGCAGGTAAGTATCCCGTTCCCTCTCAATCATCCACAGATCCTGATCTCCCTCCTTGTCACGTCCAAGTCAGCAATGTCGACAATGTGGCAAATGCCACATCAGCAATGACAACAGAGTGGCATGCGCCACATCAAAAATGTTGAAGACACTGTGGCCCTGCACCACGTCAGCATAGGCTGCCGCCGAAGCAGAAACTTTAAGGCGCCAACGAGCAAGCAGCAGTCTCGCATCGTCGTCCACAGTGCCAGCGTACAGCCAGCGGCATGCCAGGGTCCAGCCCGCTTTAAGCCAGCGTCTAGCTAGCATCAAGCCAACGTCTAGCTAGCGTCAAGCCAGCGTCAAGGCAGCATAGCAAGACTGAATGTTGAGTCATTTTTGACTCCCTGGAGGTCGGGCCTTACATAATGTTTGACGCGGCTTTCCGGCCTCAGGTCTCCACCCACAGCGGCGGCTCAGATCGACTCACAACCGAAGGCCTGCACCACGTACAGTTGCAGACTTCCACTTCGTCCGAATGCTGTCTCGGTGTCTGCATACAAACAAGTGTGCGTGTCTGACCGGCTGCCTCGACTGGGTGCATGCAGACTTTGACTCCTGGCCGCTGGCCAGTTGACCGTAGTCAACTGTCGGGCGCACAGGCCCTGAGCCAATTTCAAATTGGGGTTTTTTACCTTCCCTTGGCCTTTGTGGCCTCAGAGCGGCTCGGCGCCCTAGGGCCACTTCAGTGCATATCAAGCGGGGTGTATTGCATTTCCAATCCGTGTTTTTGCCTAATTTTGCGTGGAACATTTCAGGGTGTTCCGCTGTTCCCTACCTAGTTAGGGATTTCAATGGTTTTTCTCCATGTCTTCTTTTAGTTGTTTTTATCCTGCTTCACTTTTGGGCTTTCAGTTTATTGAGGTTGTGCACCTTAGTCATATATTTCGTTCGCATTTTTGAATTTTCGAAGGTTAAGGGTTTTTAGTAGTTTTTGTTTGCTGTTTGGCTTCGAAGGTTCAACCCACTGCTGTGAATCAGATGTTCTTTCATTAAATGATTAATAAAAAATTTCACCTCAAGGGTTTTCTGGCAACTACTGTTGTTAGGAATTTCGTAGTCCTTCGGGACATCCGTTGAAATTGGAACAATACAGAGAAGACAAGATTAGCATGAGCATGGCCCCTACCTGCGCAAAATAAGGATGACACGCATAAATTACAGCAAAAAAAAACGTTGGCCCACAAACGTTTGCTTGTGACTACCTGTCGTGAAATCAGGACAGCACGAAATCAGACAGGCTGAGACAACGCGAAATCAGACAGCCGTATTCTCTCAAGGGGTCGGAGTGCATAGAGGCACCCATAGCTGATAAACTGTAATAGCTTTTCTGTATATAATAAGGGGGTTGGGGGGGAAACAGGAAACCTGAATACCACTTTTTTTCGGATCCATCATGAGGCGTCGTCGTAGATTTTCTACTTCAGCGCCAAAACAAGAAATCTTAACGTCACATTTTTTCAACGCATTGCCCATCATTAGCTCGTCTGGTCCCTCTGCTTCAACTCTTCCTGCTTTCATTTCTCAGTCTTCAGTTCTTCGCATAGTTGCGGCGCACCTCGGTGCGCGGATTTGCGCACGAATTGCGCACCGAAGCGCAGTGCACTGGAAAAATTAGGTCCACAAAAAAAAAAAAAAAGAGAGTCGGGGTTTCGTAATTTCCTAGGGCCCCCAACTCGGCAAAAATGTTAAACTCACCGCGCGAGCTCAGAAACCGGCCGCGCCCCTAGCTCGACATTTTCTTTTGGGTAAGGGCTGCCAAATTTCGATTTCCGCAGCCCCTTCCCCCAAAAGTTTTGAAAATAGTAAAATACTTAAAACATAGGGCTCAATCCATCTTTTTTTTAAGGCGGGGTATGAAAGATGTTCTTCCTGCTCCCTTCTGTAAATCCCACACAGTGGTGGGGTAAGTTCGCAAGAAGGGGTGGTCGCCTGATAACGACCTGCCCCGCACAACTTGCGTTTTCTATGGCCAGCCGACCACCAATATATGCTGAAGATTGGCGGTCAGGTCTGCCTGTCGGCAGTCATGGGTTAGGATGAAGATGCACGTGGCTCTCTCCTTTTCTTGTTTTCGTTTTCTTACGAATACGTTCAGTGGGGCCTGCTCCACTACTCACCAAATGCACAAAAGACAGCATATGGTGGTGTATGGTTCCATGTTTTAGCAGAATATTCTACTAACATTATATACATTTGGTGAGTGGTGGAGGGAGGCCCTGAGAATCACGTGGAGACACGAACAGGGTCTAGCTGAACTGATGACCCATAACTGCCGAGCTACAGCCCTCAGCCCTGAACTCGAATCCACAGCATATATTGGTGGTCTGCCCCCATGTCTTTCACGCATGGCAAGGCCATCCTTCTCATTGAAGCAGCCGCCCCCCATGTCTTTCACGCATGGCGAGGCCATCCTTCTCATTGAAGCAGCGGCCCTCAATGGCTCCACATGCGTTACAGGAGCCATTCGGGGTACCTGCAGGGGCCCTCGAATTGACATAAAGGGGACCCTTTGCTCTCTCTCTCTCTCTCTCTCTCTCTCTCGGGCCCTGTCCTTTTCTTTTTTTTTCTTTTTTTTTATCGCGCACATAGCGCCCCTCCCTCAACGCGCGCACCGCCCACAGCGGACCGCACAGCGCACAGTGCGCGCGCTGTCATTCCAGCGCACAGCGCAGTGCGCACTGCCCCGCCCCGCACTGCGCACTGGTGCGCCGCAACAATGGTTCTTTGTCATAGTAGCCCCCCCCAGAACTCAAGATCATTAAGTCAACAAATGTGATGTCACAAGGTTATGGGACGTCTAAGCATATTTGGAATCCATTCGAGGCCACACACGAGGAGAATGCCTCGCAGCGAGTTTATAACGACTTACCTGTCAGTGAGGAGAATTACCGCAATGTTATAACAACTGGCCAATTGATTTGCTCAGTCTCTACTTCAATTGCTTGCTTCCACTGCTCAGTCTTCAGTTGTTTGTCATAACTGAGGATTAAGGAATTTTTAGTATTTTTTTGCGCCAGACTCAGAAGTCGAGGATCAACAAAGTCAACAAATGGGGATGGTGCGAGGGACAGGGACATGGAAGCATTTGGAATAGTACGGTCAAGGGCAAACTGCAAGAAGTGAAACAACACCTTGACTTCCGAAGTTTCACAGAAGGAACAGTCTCTCCACAATGCTGGAGAAAGTAACAGTTGAGTCGAGGAATTCTCAATTCACGTGCTTATACTGTACAGAACCAATGGATCAACAAACTTCAAAGAAAACAAAAAAAACAAAGACAGCAACGAACACTCGTAAACTCGTCAAAATGGATCGAAAGAACTCTCTCTCTCTCTCTCTCTCTCTCTGAGATCTACCTATGGACACATCCTTGTGTCGTGATATCGCACTGACACAGTGACCGAACAGAGCCAAGAAGAAAGAGAGCCGTCATCCACGGTCATTATTTGGCGGTGAACCTCTTCTTGAAAAGTGAATGCCGCTGCCGGTTTGGGTCTTTCTTCGGGCCCATTCCCCGTGCGAAACTTCCCTTCATCGGACCACCACGCCCAGTGCTGCCAAACATATCATCGAAAACACACACACACACACACACACACACACACACACACACGCACACGCACACACACAATGTTAACATTGAGGATAATACGGCATTCTGTTTTCAGAAGACAAAGTTTTCGACTATCAATAGTTGCAGATCGTAACAGTTTGCAGCCACTAGCTTCCCTAGCCGGGCCTCGAAATGCACTGCGTGCCAAGACAAAGACGAATCACGCGGGCCTCTCTTTTGGCTGGCACCGCCACCCGTTTTGTTCCCGTAGGCCAACCCCCCCTTAAACTTCCGGCCACAAGCAGGTCGCATCGGAGAAAAATGGACGGGAAACATACTGGTGATTTAAAGAACAGACTATCAGATACAACATGAATCGTACCGACGATTCAGATCTCACTTTCAAATAAGTGAAGTCTTGTTTTTCTTTCTTCTCTCTTCTTTAACTGAAAGCTTTGAGGTAAGGGATGGCGATGACCTCTTTCCTTCTGAGATTTTTTAACCATGTTGAGAGATTCAAGATTTGCTTAATATTTTCCTCAAAAAAAAACTCAATCACTTACGGAGACGGTTCAGATTCATAAAGCGACAGTTATGAATCTTACAGCGGCCACGATGCGCCTCATAAATAATAAACAGGGATGCATGCTGCTTAGGTCATAGGTCATATATGGGCTCCATCGCTGACATTTGTGTTTCACATATACTGTGCATCAGCTCTCCGGATTTGAATAAACATCAGGCTCAGCATTCATGATACCTCCTACACCCGGTCTGGTTTTGAATAAAAAATCACACTCAGCAATAGACTGGAGAAGATTTCCATCGCAAGAGTTCATTTACATGCTTTTTGCAACCGATCCACTTCCGCTGGTTCGGGGCAACAACACAGGCCTGGGGCATACTACCAGAGATCAACACCAACAACGCCCTCAAGGACACAAAAAGAGACCAAAGACACAAAAAGGAAAAGAACTTTTAAAGAAGTCCCCTCCAGTGGTGATTACAGTGATTACACTGATTACAGTGAAAACACCAAAAACTTCAAAGAGTTATTTTAACTGGTTTAAACTTTTAACACCAAAAGTTTACGCCCCCGACTTTTTCGAGTTTGGGAAAAGTGCCAGTTTTCCCTATTTTAGTATTTTACTATTTTCCCAACACTGGGGGACGTACTACTGGTTCAACACCAAAAAACTACATAACTGGTTTTCAACTTTTCACTGACAAGTTACAACCAGTTAAACAAAAATTACATAACTGCTGGGCAGCGGTGCGGGCTGCAGGGCGCTAGGGTGTAAGAGGGCGATCGGTGTTCTTCAGGAAGGAGGTGAGTGTGGGTGGACAGGGTCTGATGAGGGGAGACGAGATACGTACCTGGTACATAAGAGAGGTCGGCTATAGTGTTGACGTCATGTACATTGGTCTTCGAGAGTCGAAGTGAGCCTGTTGCGAAAATGCTGACGTACGTAGGATAGTCGAGTAGTGTAGGCTGGGCGCTGGGTGCCAGACGGAGAGGAGCGACTTTGGATACTGTGTTGGTGTGGCCTGAGGGCTTGAACATTGGCTCATTACTTCATTGTATTGCTCTTATTTGGATGGAATCTCGGCGCATTTGTGCACTCTGCTTGTACACTATTACTTGGACATCTGTGTGATTTGCAACTTGGTTTTCTGTATCGTTCCCACTCATATTCCTTGCACGAGTTATTTGGCCTTCAATTGAAGGTAACTTTGTCTTATGAAACCCCTTTGGAAAAGCACAGCAAAAAAAAAGATAGCTTGCATAGTCTTTTTTTTTTTTTTTTTTTTTTTTTTTTTTTTAGCTTGCATACAGTCTCATTATCCGGGTGTGTTATGTTCCGGGAAGACGGTTGCTCCAAGATTTTTTTTTTTTTATTATTTTTTTTTTTATTTTTTTTAGCTCCAAGATTTCTTGCTGACAGGTTTTTGTTTTTTGGCTTTTGTTCTTCCTTTTGCTGGACTCTTGACCAAACAAATGTTGTTGTTGTTTTTTTTCCCCCTCTTCTTTTCTTCTTTAAGAAGGAAAAAAAAGGCGATCGCCTTGAGATATTATCATTTAACTGGCTGGGCCCATGTAATTCAGAAAGATTTCATTCATTCATCTGGATTTGGACTTGGGTATGTATTTCAACAGTTCATGGGTGTACCAACTGAGATATGCTCGTTTATTATTGCCCAGGATCGGCGAACTTAAAACTGTTTTTTTCATTTTCAACAGTTCATGGGTGTACCATCTGGATTTGAACTCAGGTCATTGGAACTAAATGAATGGGTGTTAAGCTATAGGTCACCCTGGGTGAGGATATTACTCACCACGGATGAGATGACAGCCTTGACAGGTAGTCGAGACAAAGCGAGAAGTTTATTTCGTACCTGTACTCCATGTACATCATGCCATCTGCACCAGACATGTTGGCCATAGATTTATTTGTTCGGTACGCCATTGTCTTATATCGGTTAATGTCGTCTTCGTCCTCAGCCAGCTTCTCAAGCCCGGCTTCTTCTTCTCCCGCTGCCAAAACCTGTAGTGCAAGACGAGACATAACAAATCGATAGGCAACAAAGGACACGGGAAGCACGACTTATTGCATCATCCTTGTCCAGGAGCGGGGGAATTTTTCTACCTTTAAAGTTTAAAGCTTAAACAACTGTCATCACAGAATGACGTGGAAGAAGACCAAATGTGCGGGATGCTTGGAGGAGGATGAGGAGGAATGTGGCATATAGCTCGAAACCCTAAGGCATATTTTTTCCTTACAGTTTTCCCAAGGGTTTTTTCCATCGCTGTGATGGGCCCGAATGCTGGACTGACCCGGACGTCCAGCCGGACCTCTGCCCGGATTGATCCGGATGTCCAGATAACCAGACATGATCCCGACATCCCGGACATTACGGACCGGACTCTCTTTTTTTTGAGATGGAAGGAAAAAAAACTTTAAAAATAAAATTAAAAAATAAAACAAAATGAGTAGGGTAAGTCCAAGTCCGCAGGGTATTTCTGAGTCAGCACAGTCATTCACGTCCGCAAGGTGCGGACAACACCGTTTTCTCTTTCCTTCGACCATGCCATCAACGCCATCGTGGCAAGAGCTGCAGCTGTCCTCCATGGATTCTGCCGTCCTAAGAGCAGTGCTGACATGAAGTGTCCTGTCCTCCCTCCTCCCTCTACCCCCCTGACAAGAGAGGCCCCTCCCTGCCCGTCCTCCTCCTTCCACACCCTATGGCGAGACAGGCCCCTCCCTTCACAGGTTCGAATTCCCTCTACGCTCCTCCCTGCGCAGGTCCAAATCTCCTCGAGTCCTTGCAGAGAGAGGCCCCTCCTCGCTGCCCTTCCTCCTCCCTCCTATTCTACTCTGTTGCCCACTCAATTGGAGCCATCTATCCCTTGACTGACCCAATCAGCCCTTCTTCGGTTTGATGAAGATGTGATCCTGTCCAGCATCAGCCTTTTTTTTTAGATATGACTATCATCAACGACCATCGTGTGTCCCGCTGCTACCCTAGATGACAAGCCGTTTAAGGTCATTCGACTTCCAGTGTTGCTTTCTGAACCTATTTATGAACCCCGCTTTTCCACTTGTGTGCTGCTGGTTAACCTAGCTGACGTGCTGATAACCATTGGATGAGACATGATCCTGGCCAGCACCCACCTTCTTTATGAGATCATCAACGACTACCATGTGCCCAGCTGTTACGCTGGCGAACAAGCAGTCGAAACATCGCACAAATCTGAATGCCGACAAAACCATCAGGTGTCCTGCTCTTACCCTGGCTGGCGTGTTGGCAGCCATTCTGTTTCCTATCACCAGGTGTTATGCCTGTACTTGCCCACAAGACAGAGGAAGGTACTCGGGAGAGTGACTGTGGCGCTCTCCTGCGTAGCAGACTCTACTTGTCCAGAAGACAGAGGAGGGTGGTCGGGACAGTGACTGTGGGGCTCTCCCGAGTAGCAGCCTGTACTTGTCCACAAGACGGAGGAAGGTAGTCGAGAGAGTGACTGTGGCACTCTCACGCGTAGCAGGCTGTACTTGTCCACAAGACAGAGAAAGGTACTCGGGAGAGTGACTGTGGCGCTATCCCGTATAGCAGCCTGTACTTGTCCACAAGACAGAGGAAGGTACCCGGGAGAGTCAATGTGGTGCTACCCAACGTAGCAAAACCGAGGGAGAGGAATTGAGAGAGCAATACGTGCGTTCCGACCGGGAGGGGGTGGGGTGGGGCGCGCAAAAGAGAGAGAGAGAGAGAGAGAGAGAGAGAGAGAGAGAGAGAGAGAGAGAGAGAGAGAGAGAGAGAGAGAGAGATGGCAGCCAAGGAGCTCTGTGGGGGACACTTCATCTCAACAGTTCTTGGAAGGGCAAACTCCATGGCCGATGGTGGCAGCGCTGGCCAAGATGATAATGGCAGACAATTCAGAGGGAAGGCACGCAAGGTGGCAGCCATTCAAAACCAAAACCACCTGCCTGTCCTCTGCAAAACAGAAAGTTACGACACACAACCATCCCCATTCCAGCCTGGTTCTGACCGGTCTAGGTTCTTTTTTTTTTTTTTTTTTTTTTTT